CAAGGTGGCATCATCAGGAGCAGCACAATTAACTAAATTAGCAGGAGACAACTGGATTAGCTGGAAATTCCAGATTTAGATAGCGTTGAAATCCAAAGGCTTGTTTCTCGGCTTGTGTACAATAGACACAGAGAAATCTGCTAGGCCTACAACGGGGTCAACTGAAGATTGTGACAAGAAGGATGCGAAAACACAAGAGATTATAGTGTCTAGGCTGGAAGATAAAATTGTAAATCATGTTCTTTCTTGCAATACAGCAGGTGAAATGTGGGAGAAGCGAGAAGTTCAAATCCATATATAAACACCAGTCCCAGGTAAGTGTCCATCTGTTACATGAAAAGTTTTTCAGTCTTGAGTATAAAAATTGTAGTGTGGCTGACTTTATATCACAATTAGAGGACCAAGAGGGGCCAATTGAAGCTTTTGGGTGAAGATTTAAGTGAGAAAATGTTGATAACCAAAGTGCTTATGTCTCTGCCTGAAAACTTGAAGCATTTTATATCAGCATGGGAAACTACCAGTAGCATTAACCAAAATTTGACTGAATTAACTTCCAGGCTTATGATTGAAGAAGAAAGGTTTAAACAAGAGCCTCATGCAAATGCTTTATTTTCCAAGTTCAAGGAACAACGACAAGGTGGTCCAAAATGTTTTCTTTGCAAGAATTAATTAACACTACAGAAGCATTATCATTGATTGAAGATGCCAAAATAGAGATAACAGATTGGTGCTTGGATAGCGGAGCCAGCGATCACATGGGATGATCCAAGGCAGAAAAGTGAAAATTGGAGATGGCTCTTACCTAGAGGTGAAAGGTGTTGGGAAAATTAAATTAGAATCTTGGAATGGTAAAAGTTGGATACCCACAGAAATGAACGAAGTGTTGTATGTTCCTTATTTAAAAATTAACCTATTTTCAGTTGGGAAAGTGCTGCATAAGGATCTGATCATGAAGTCAGACAGAGACAAGTGTGAAATTGTTAACATAGAAGGACAAGTAAGAGCTCTAGCAAAAAGGCAAGGTAAGCTTTTCAAAATGATTTTTAGAAATACTGATACAATTTAGTTGAAAGTGTTTTGGAGTGGCATAATAAAATGGCTCACGTAAATTTTCAACAGGTTAGATCAATATTGAAACAACATAATAATAAATTTACAGAAGATGACAATGTTGTATGCAAACCAAGGCTTTCTAGAAAGCAACCTAAGTGACCATTCCAAAATAGCGTTAGAAGAGCTTGTAGAACCAATGAATTAATTCACACTGATTTATACGGTCCTCTCGAAATTGAGTCTCTGGGAGGTTTAAGGTACTTTATCTTGATGAAAGATGACTATTCTGGGTTTAGAGTAGCTTATTTTTTGAAACACAAGGATGAAACTAAGTCCAATATAGTTCACTTTTTGGAAATGTCAGAGAATCAAACAGGAGGTCTGACAATGTACTCGAGTTTGCAAATAGGGACATTAAATTAATACTGGACAAAAAGGGCATTAAGCATGAAAGGACGTATGTTTACTCTCCCCCAGCAAAATGACCGAGTAGAGCGATAAAATCGTACCATAGTGGAAGCAGCAAGAACATTGCTCCACTCAAAGGACTTACCTAAAAACTTATTGGCAGAAGCCGTCAACACAGTCGTTTATGTGTTTCTTTCCTACTCGAAGTGTCCTGTAAAGAATAAAACATCCTCAGAACTCTGGAATGGGAGAAAGTTCAATCCGAATTATTTGAAGTCTTTTGGATCAGAAATATCCATTTACATTCCTAAAGAGTTAGATGCGAAAAATGAGATTGAAATATTTGTTGGTTACAGTGAAACAGTTAAAGGATATAGGGTGTTTTATCCAGATGAAAATAAAACTGAAACACATTGAGATGTTGTATTTATTCCTCCAGAAAAGCATGTCGAATCGAAACAAAAGGAAAACATAGTGAACTTGGACTCAAATGACAAGGTGTTCTTGAATCAGGACAATGAAAAGGATCTTAGTGAAGATGAAGATTCCGCGGCTCAGAGAAATCAGGAAGAACCAGTTGTTGAAAATCGAGCATCAGATTTAGAACAAGAGAGTGAAGATGAAGAGGACGATGAGGTGCAGAGAGGCAGAAGAGGATTGAAGAGACTAGGGTAGATGGACGATTACAATATATCTGACACCAGTTTTATTTGTTTGGAGGAACCGTCAAAATTTGAAGAAGCGATTGTACAGAAAAATGGGAAGAAGCAATAAAGAAAGAATTGTGTGTGCTGAAGAAGAATAGTGCGTGGAGTGAAGTGCCATGGCCTGTAAATAAAAAGGTAATCGAGAGCAAATGGGCGTTTAAAATAAAAGGTAGTGGTGAATATAAAGCTCGCCTTGTTGCTCGCTGCTTTAAGCAAAATTGTAATAATTCTTATGACATATAGGTACTTACCTGTTGCTTTTAGAGTCTTTTTAATTGTTTCCAATAAATTGGGATTACCAGTTTATCAAATAGACGTGCAGGGTGCATTAGACGAATAGTCTATATGTCTTTACCAGGGGTTGATAAAGAAAACAGTACGTCCGTTTGTAAACTGAATAAGTCCATTTATGGCTTCCAAAATGTTGGAACAGTAAATTTGACAGTCTTATGTTGGAATTAGAATTTGTAAGATCCAATAATGATTTTTGTTTATATTATAAGTTTGAGAATGTGGAGAAAGATTTTTTATTGATTTATGTGGACGATTTATTAATAATGGGAACTCACAATAATAATGTAAACTGTTTAAAAAGTATGCTTCAGAAAAATTTTGAGATGAAAGACTTAGGTTGTGTTTCTGATTATATATAGGCATACATGTAAAACAAAATGTTAAGCAAGGTTTTGTTGAGTTGGATCAAAGTAAATACTTGTCACAAGTTTTGGAAAAATTTGGTATGTCAAACTGCATACCTGTGAGCACTCCAATTGATAGCAATTTTGATTTTAACTTGATTGAAAATGGAAATTATCAGGATAATGATAAGGAAAAATAAAGGGTGATCCAATTGGTGCTTTAGCATTTTAAAGTGGAATATAGGCAACACTGTACATGTCAAAAAAAAAAATATTTGGCAGTTTTTTAGATCAGTTTATTACAAAACAAACTGTGATATTTAACGCCGCGGCAACGTTGCGAAATTATTAAAATTTATTATCAAAACCAAAGCTACATGAAGGCAACTTGGCACGGATTAAGTGCACTTTATGGTCCCCAAGATCAACTCAGTGAATAAACAATTCGTAATGTTGTGAGGAAATTTGAAAATGAGTGTTGCTGGATAATCCAAGATCAAATCTTGTAAGGAATGTGGGAAATGCAGGAAATGTTGAAGTTGTAAGTCTAATCGTTGCTGAGAACGACATTTAACAGACAAATTTAGATTATATCGAACATTTTGACTTACAGCTTCAACATTGTCTTCATTTCTCACATTTCTTACAAAATTTGTTCCTGGATCACTCAGCAACACTCATTTTCAAATTTCCTTATAACATTACGAATTGTTCATTCACTGGGTCGATCATGGGGACTATAAAGTGCACTTAATCCGCGCCAAGTTGCCTTCATGTAGCTTTGGTTTTGATAATAAATTTTAATAATTTCGCAACGTTGCCGCGGCGTTAAATATCACAATTTGTTTTGTGATGAACTAATCTAAAAAACTGCCAAATATTTTTTTTTGACATGTACAGTGTTGCCTATATTCCACTTTAAAATGCTGAAGCACCAATTGGATCACACTTTATCAACATTTATATATGCAGAAAAATCATTGGGTGTTTAATGTATGTAGTTTTGGGTACAAGGCCAGATTTATACTATAGTGTAGTGTGACAATGTTGAGCCATTTTCTTGAAAAGACTTCAGAACAATTGTATGTAATTACCAGAGACACCAATCTTAGACAATTTCTTTATCAGTAAAAGATTAGAGACACTGTCAAAGGCTTTAGATAAATCAGTATAAATACTGTTAACCTGACAGCCAGCTTCAACGGATGAAACAAGAAAGTCCTGGTAAACTGCTAGGTTAGCACAGGCAGAACGACCTTTATGGAATCCATGTTGTTCAGGAATAACGTACTTTTTATATGTGTAAAAAATTTCATCAGTAAGAATCGACTCAAAAGGTTCAGGAATGGCAGAGAGAAGAGATATTCCACGGTAATTACTGACAATCGACCTATCACCCGCCTTGAAAACCGGAAGAAGATAAGATTTTTTCCATAAGGAAGGAAAATAACCTGCATCCATGGATCTTTGGAAAAGAGCTTTCAATGGATTCACAAGGGAGGAGCAACAAGATTTCAACTATAAGGGTGGAATGCCAACAGGGCCTGCTCTCTTAGATTTATACAAGGATTATAATTTCCTCTGCGGTAAAGATATGAAAAGACAAAGTGGCAGAGAATTGCACAGAGCTGTTGTTGGACAAGTCCACATATTCATGATTTGAATAACAAGACTGAAAGTGCGAGGCAAACGCATCAATATTATAAGAATTAATGAAGGGTTGATTATTGTACTGCATTATGCTGGGCGGACCAGAAACATCTGTTAGGCTCTTCACGTATGGCCAAAAATATTTTATGTTTTCGGGAATAAGATGTTCCGTAGCCTCATAATCACTCTGGAAGCAAGATCTCTTAAATTTTTTGTACAATCTGTTTTTTTTTTTGGCAATAAGTTTACGGAGATCTTTGTCAAACCAACAGGGATACTTCTGACTTATAACAGTCCTTTTTGGGACATAGATATCTATATACCATCGAGTGGGATCTCATAAAATTTCTGGACGGCCAAATCGACGTCCAGAGTGGTTCCCAAAAATGACCATAGAACTTATTTAATTCCATAAAATTGGTTCGGTCGAAGTTGTAGTCTAGTTACAAGTTTGTTATTATATATGTGGTAATATTACATTACCCTCATGTAAAATACCATCAATGATTATTTAAATACAAAATGTATGAGTTGGTTTTCTTACCTCGCATAACGCAACACCGGTTTCTAACTTTTCCATAAAATTCTCCACTTGAATGTTCAAATGAGGATACATCGTTTGCAACCATTCGGCCAAATCTTCTTTCATGGCATAGAGGTACTCTTCGCTCGACTTGAAGGGCCTGAAAGGCCTTGCTTCTAGTAGAACCGAACTCATTTTGAATAGTGTTTATGAAAAAGTCTTTTAAAACAATCGAGGAATTTGTCGAATTATTTTCGTTAATAACTGACTGATGCCTCTTTGAGTAATACGGAAATTAGTGATGTCATCGTTTTGAGTTTCGATCGGAAGGTCTTGTGAAATTTTGTCCTGAAATTTGAAAAAAAGAGTTAGGAAACGTAATATTAAGAAGAGTTGTTTTTTAATAAAGTTGTAACGTAATACTAAGAGGAGTTGTCTTTTAGTAAAGTTGTGGCCATTTCATAGATAAAATATTCAAAGTGAAATAAAGTACCTATGGTATATGCTAATCCATGATATTTTGATGAATTTTTGGATGATATACCTATCTTTTGTAGCAACACTTTCAGTAAAAGTTTCCATCCAAGTAGATGTTTCAATAACGTAGTTCATTCTATAAGGAATTTTTGCCTTCCTTCTATATGTAATTTATCCTCAATTATGATGTTTTATTGTATAAATAGTATTTAAAGTAGGTAGACTATTTCTATACATAAGTGGAAAAGTGGGAAAAAAAACTCGATAAAAATTAAAAGCACTTGAAAACAAACAAAATATTATTTCAAAAAAAAAACCCTTAGCAAAATGCACAAATCAACTAGAAAAATGCAAACTGAGTATTGAGAAAACTCCAATCAAAAAATAAATACTATAAACAAAATGGCAAAAAGGTGAAGAATCGGAAAATCATCTGAGAAATCAGTTAAGTCTGGCAAGAGAAAATTCGCTGTTTGTTTTTGTTTGAAAAATGAATCACATGCATATTTCGGTACCTATAATCTTAATTAAGTAGATTGATAACTTGATAATTTTTTTTTCAATCTCATGATTTTCTTTCTCAAAAAAAAAAAATTAACTCCTCCAACTTCCTCTCAACTGAATTTTGTATGCAAAAGTTTACAAATAAAAACACAATTACCTACCACTAAATTTCATTAACTCAAAGACAAAACAAAATCAAATCATGCACAAAAAAAAAAAACAACACCGGAAACTCAAAAGAAAACCAAAATTCACTCACGTCGTCGCGATGCCGCAAAAAAAAAGTTTACCGTCGTGTGGACGTCGGTACTGTTGACTACTAGAAAGATATCTAGCGAGTAGCGAAAAGCTTAAGCGCGAGCGACTCTTTTGTAACAAATGAATACTTTTAAAGTAAGTAATGCGCGCGACCTCCGCTTTGATAATAATATAATGCCTCCACGCTGCTCCGGTAGTACTTTTGTATGTGTGTGTGTCAGTGTGTGTAACCTCACGATTTGATTGTCGCGTATTTGCAATTTCGTAGCAATTAGTTTAGCCTTTTAAGAGGAATGTCCCAGACGCGTTTTTGCTTTTTCCTACTTGATTTGATTTGGCACATTTTAAAGTTAAATGATTGAGAATTGTTGAGAACTACCCATAATAAATCAAGCGAAAAATTTCCGTGATTATGGCAAAGTGTTAGAATTGGTGGTACTACTGTTGTCTAGTTCTGTCATATATTGCTGTCATTGTTATTAAAATTTGTCAACCATTGTCAACGTACGGTCTAAATTTCTATTTCATTTTCACATTAAATTATTAAAAATTGAGTGTGGGCTTCCATAAAAAAACTCACAGGTCCCATTGCGTTGGTATCTGTACTCGACGTGAAAAGTTACGAAATTAGTTTCTCTCAAAAATGGCTGACTCATCCTCTAGTATGTTGGGTTTTGAGAGATTAGCTGGTAGAGAAAATTTCAACAATTGGAAATTTGGAATGAAAATGGCCCTTATTCACGAAAATCTCTGACGTTGTATAGATGGGTATCCTACAGAAAAAGACAGGTTGGATCAAAAGGCTCTTGCAAAAATGTATCTAATGGTAAAGCCTGCAGCATATCCATACGTCAGGACAGCAAAAACGGCAAAATGGCCTGGGGTAATCTAGTTGCAGCTTATGAAAATAAAGGGTTGTCTAGTTTAATACGTCAATTATTGGTAAGAATTAAACTGGAAGATTCTCAGACAATGGAAGCTTATGTTAATCAGACTATGTCTTTTGCCCAGAAGTTATCAGATATGGAACATCCAGTTGATGATGATTTCTTAGGCGTTATTATGCTCAGTGGGCTGACCTCAGAGAATAATCCCATATGGTAATGGCCATAGGGAATTCAGTAAAAAAATATCACAAGTGACTTTGTGAAAACGATTCTTCTTCAAGATGATAAGTATGGCAAAGAATTCAAAGAAACAGCATTGTTATCAAAGAAAAAGGTAACAAAGAAAAGCATAAAGTGTTTTCAGTGTGGTCAGATTAGCCATTATAAATATCGATGTAAAAATAAGTTTTTAGAAGAAGAAATACAAAGAGAATACAAATTATTCTTCGGCGATAACAGGAAAAGCATTACAATATATGCATGGTGTAAGTGATAAAAAGGAATTTCTACAGTCCTTGTATATTGATTCAGGAGCAACCACACTTATGAGTTACCAGAAAAATTATTTGGAAGATTTTGAATGTAGGAATGAATCACAGATAACAGTAGCTTATAACCAGAAAATGTCAAGTTTCGGAGTTGGGAAGGCAAAGGTATGTACGCTAAATGGTATAAAAACGATATCTGAGATTGTATGTATATGTACCAAACTTGAGAGCAAATCTTCTGTCAGTGAGTAGAATGATGCTGTTGTTTTTGATGCAAATGGGTGTACAATTTTCGATGCTGATAATTTCAAAGTTCAGGGCGAAACTTTTGTCACAGCAACCAATAAAAATGGTTTATATGAATTGGACATTGTACAGGATAAAAGTTTCTTAAGTATCACTAAGGAAACACAGGATTTGTGGCATAAACGACTTGGTCATTTGAACAGAATAAGCATAAATTTATTGAAAAACAGCATGGCAACAGGCATGGAGTACTTGTGATGAAAAAGCCGACGACTGTACTGTTTGTCTTTTAGGTAAGCAAACACGACAACCATTTAGTAAACTTGGAGGTAAACGAGCTAAAGAGGTACTGGAGCTAGTGTACACAGATCTTCGTGGGCCCATGCCAGAAGCATCTCATAGTGGAGCAAGATACGTTTTTGTTTTAGTTGACAATTTCACCAGAAAGATTTTTGTCTATTTTCTAAAATCTAAAACAGAAGTTTTTGAAAATGTTGAGAATTTTCAGATATTAGTAGAAAATCAGACAGGTAACACTATAAAAAAAATCAGAAGTGACGGAATATATCAATGAAACAATGAACATATAGAGTAGAAATCAAACGAGAAGAAGCCACACGGGTTATCGTTTGTCTCACTTTAAATGGTAGGGACGCAGAGAAAAGGAAATCTGCTTTCTTTGTCAGCGCTGATGACAGTGGCTTCTTCTCGTTTGATTTTTACTCTATATGAAATCAAAAGGCATAATACATCAAGTCACTGTAAGATATACACCAGAGCAGAATGGAGTAGCCGGACGAACAAATCGGATCATAGGGGAAAAAGCAAAATGTATGCTACAAAGAAGCTAATCTTGAACAAAAATCTGGGTAGAAGCTGTCAATGCAGCTGTCTATCTGAAGAATCGTTCTCCACACAAAGATGTCAAAGGATGTACACCGGAGGAGAAATGGTCAGGAGATAAAATAAGTCTAGAACATCTACGTGTTTTTGAATGTATTGCGCAAGCGCATGTTCCAAATCAATTAAGAAAAAAATTTGATCTACAAGGAATACATTTTTGTTGACTATGATGAAAACACAAAAGGTTATAGATTATTGGATATTCTAAAATATGGTACCTATAGAATAATAAAGTCTCGTGATCTTGTGTTTTTTGAAAATAAATTTAAGCCAAGCATGAAAAATTACAAAGAGGAAGGTGAAAGATTAATTTTTGATTACCAGAAAAATGATGATGAGGAACAAAATCAGAGTGACAGTGATAGTTTGAATGAAAAAAGTGAAAATGCTGAAAGTCATAATGTTGAAGATGAAGAAAGTGAAAATGCAGAAAGTCAAAATGCTGAAAGTGAAGAGAATGAAATTCCAAGACGTTCATAGAGAATGAGGAGAGAAAAAGAATTTCCAGATCATGTACTGTATTTAGCGTCAGAATACACTTCTTTATCAGTGCACGAAGCTATGAATTGTCCGGAGTCTGACAAATGGAAAGAGGCTATGAACGAGGAATATAATTATCTAATGGAAAACAAAGCATGGACTATTGTGAATAAAGAAGAAAATTGAAAGGTAGTGCAGTACAAATGGGTTTTTAAATTAAACTCGTGCAATGGAGATATATCTATACTTTCCATTGCAGTCGTTATATTTCTATAAATAATAGTTGACTTGACTGTCCAACAAATCTTATTGACTTACTATAGCGAATGACTGTATACCACTAAGTAGTAGGCATCTTCCTCTAGAAACCAGAAATAATAAAATAACCCCGAATGCGTTATGGCTCCTCCAAGCTAAGCCATAATGTCCACTTACCTATATGGAAAATTGAAGTTCTATACAACGATAAAAAGGAAATAGCTTATACTACGTTCAGTCGTTTCAGATTTCATCTCAATCAAAAGCAAGTTTATTTGACTTTCCGCGACATAGGAATTTTCTAGTCACTACAACAATAACCTATGTTTATATTGTGCATTCTCCTACTAACTCGTATAACTTCAGAATCTGCTACAATAATCGATTATGTTAGTACAAAGATTGATAAAGATAGGATTTTGGGTTTGCAGTGACAAATGTTCGTCTGTTAAAAACTTAAGAAAGTCAGGAGAATTTACAACAAAAGTAATTTAAATGGGCAAATCTTCTGCTGTATTGAAAATAAATTCAAATTAAGTGTCCACATACGCCTTGAGAAAATTTTCATAACATCTCGTTGAGGACGTCTTCAGAATGTCATAGAGAAATATCCTAAAGACATCTTTAGGCAGACGTCTGAAACACGTTGGGTTTTGTAACAAACGACGTATTTGCGATGTTTTTAAGACACTTCGAAGTCGTTTGTGAACATTTAAGGGACGTCTTTAAGATGCCTCCTATGCTCCTCCTCTATGCTCAGAGGCGATGGTTTACGAAAGGTCTCAAGATATCATCAAAGACCATCCGCTCCTTACATATGATTAGGAAAAGCACTTCAAATAATGCTTTTTTTTATTAACTATTGCAATAGATACAGATCCATTTTTCGTAAAACCATAAAACATGCATTGCAGAATTATTTTAGAAAAATATTGAGTAGGACCAAAAACAGACAGAGGGACAGCTAGAGCATTGTGAATGATCTTAGGGGTGAAAATAAAAACAATTTTCCTCCAACAACATTGAGCTGTAATTCAATAAATCAATAATTTTACAGTTGTGTAGAAGATCTGAGTATTGAGATTAGCACTAAGGGGGATTTTCGGGGATAATACCACGAGAGCTTCAAAATTACCGATAATTTTTCACGATTGCGTGTTTTCTATAATTTGCTGAGAAAACCGCATGAATGAAAAATTATCTGGTTCATTTTAAAGTTCAAGTGGTATTTAGAGGATTATTTCCCGTATGAGAATGCAAAAAATATGGAAATAAATATGTATTTAACGATTTGAACATCTTAACAATCAATACAAATAAATGGTTGCTATCAGGAACTGTTTGTTTGTATCAAAAATTAGCATGACAACCATGTATACAATAACATGAGAGAATTATCGCTGTAATTATCTCTAGTTAAACAAATGGAAAAGACAATTTTCGCTGTAATTCGGAAAATCGTCACTTGTCTTATGGGATTTCTAACACATGAGTGGAATAATCGGGAGAATTTCATACATCTGTCAAAACTGGTATTCCAACAATAAACTGACATGTTTTGATTTTTGATTTGAACCAATCAGACTAGAATTACGTGATAATTTGCACTAGTGCAAATTATCAGATAATTGCATAGTAACTGGTGCGAAAACTGGTGTTTTGACATTTTTTGACAAAAAATTTAAATTTTTGATTTATGAAATTCTCTCATTAAATACAACTCGTGCAATGGAAATATATTTATAATTTTCGACAAATTTGCACTCATGCGTTTTTAATTGAAAAAGGCACTCGTGCACCATGTGCACTCGTGCTCTTTTTCAACTAAAAATGCATTCGTGCAAATTTCCCAAAAATTATCAATAATTTCCATTGCACTTGTTATATTACTATTGAATATTTGAGGGATGACAATGT